AAAAGTATGAACAACATGACATGGTCAACATGCACATGCATGCACGTGCGCGCACGCGCAAAGCGTAAAATGACCAATTTACTTGATATAGTTGTAACTTTGAAACTTTTTGATGAAATGCTTTGATACTCAAAATATTTATATGTATTTAAAGTTTAGACAAGACGACATGATCACCATGCACATGCATGCATATGCATGCACGTGCGCGCGCGTGCAATGTGTTAAATGACCAATTTACTTAATATAGCCATACTTTTTATATTTTTTGATGAAAAGCTTTGATATTAAAAATATACAGATATATTAAAAGTGTAGACAAGATGATGTGGCCATCATGCACATGCATGCACATGCGCGTGCGTGCAATGTGTTTAATGACCAATATACTTAATATAGCCGTAACTTTTATATTTTTTGATGAAAAGCTTTGATACTAAGAATAAACAGACATATTATAAGTGTAGACAAAATGGCATGGTCATTATGAACATGCATACAGGTGCGCGTGCGCGCAATGCTAAGATGACCAATATACTTGATATAGCTGGAACTTTATATATATTTTTTGATGAAATGTTTTGATACTGAGAATATAAAGATGCATTTATAGTATAGACGGAATGACATTGTCAACCTGCACATGCATGCACGTGCGCGCGCGTGAAATGCGTTAAATGACCAATATACTTCATTGCCTTATTTAATGAAGCTTACAGGAAATAAGACACCAAAAGGGAGTTGGGGAGCGTTTGGGGAACATCTGTAACGGTCCCCGTTACAATTAATACTAGTTAATACTGATTTCAAAATTACAACCATTGATATGTAATTTGAGGAATTTTGATCCTCTGAATCTCAAAAAGTGTATCTAGGGTAAGTTTCATCGTATTAGTAGAGAAATTTTCCATTATAATGCTTAAAATAGGCTTAGTATATCAAAGGCTAGTTTCAAAGTTTAAAAGAAGTACTTAAGTTAAACATGTTAAATTTTGACAGGGTTACCTCAGTGACTTCAGTGGTTCTGCAATTTGCTTGTTTGTCTTATTTACATTTTTCCTAAAGTAAGATTTGTATAAAGAGAGAGAGGGATGCAAATTTTCATATTGATAATGTTAAATATTTGGTTTTGGCAATTTCTTCTCATTTAGAAGAGGGCGTTTCTTTGAATTCTTAAAAGAGCAAAATCCATGAAGGGGCTAAATCGGCTTATTTTTTCAGGAAAATTAAACTAAGGGGAAGAAGAAAATTAACAATAGAAATATCATCCTTGGGTATCAAACTTTTATAGTTTATGCCAATTCTTTTATTTGATGACGTCATATTTGTACAGAAAACGTATAAACACGTGCACTTTGATAGTTTTTATCAAAATAAAGCATTTTTTTCGTCTTTGGTTCAAATTTTTGCTGTGGCCACACCCTTCGAACAAAATAAAATTTATACCATTGAAAAGAGGATTAAAATATGAATAAATAAAGTACATTTTTATTTTTTTCGAGGGGTGTGGCCACATCGAAATTAATACTTTTCGTTCGATTCAAATATCTTAGCACCGACTCACACAGTGAAAATAGCAGGGATTACCCTACATTAATAGAAAAGAAAAAGGTTCTATATTGTTTTTGTAAATATTAAAAAGTTTCGAAATGTGAATGTTATATTTATTATAAGTTATTTTGTGTTGTGGTGCAAAAAAGTACAAAAACTCTCGCAAAGCATGACTGCATGTAGATGCAATAATGTCGACATTTTGTGTACTACGCGCCTCAGTCCTGACCCAAGACTTTTCCTTCAAGTAGCTGATCTATATTTAACTCATCATTATGCTGATATGTTTAAAAAAAAATAATGTGTACTCTTTTCCTCTGACAGCCTATTTATTTATGCCTTGAATTTGTTTTCCAACTCCCTGCTCCTCATCACTATGGTCACTATGTAATCAAAGGGAGATCATCCGAGAAACATGTATGCTACATCTTTATTTTCTCCTGAGTGGCCGTGTGGGAATAGCGTAGAATATTAAACAAATTACATGCAACTACCAAGACGTATTTATAATGATTGTTTTGCCACTTTACAAAACATAAATGTCGTGAAGTCTGCATCGATAGCATACAAATGGTTAATGTTGCGCAATAGAGTCTATTATGACTACATGTATTATTGTTATAACCCATACCCAACATGCGTTTCAGAAATGGCCAGTGGCATTTTAAGACTAAAGATTAATTAATATTTATAAGTGAAAACCTTTACTGATCAGAGATCTCTTAACATAAATTATGTTACGAAGTACTGAACCTAGAAAATTCGAGTTGACAAATCAAATAAACAATAGATTGATTTTACAGATCACGTGTAATTTTTGTGATCGGCCTCCATAAGAAAAAATGCCCTATATTGTACAAACGAATAACTTACTACCAAGGCAGTGACAACTCTTTATGGTTTTAAGTAGTTTCGGTATCGCATGCATGCTGTGACCTAGCCAACACATAAAAAAAAATGTCAAAGGGAGTCTATTTGCTATCTCTTTCTATTTTGAGTTACTCCGCTTAAATGTAACAGGCCCAAGGGAGAGAGGGCAACCAGATTTGCAAGCATGTTTATACATGTACATGTAGTAGTGTAAATTCATAAAGGTGGGATTAGAGCATTGATATAAAATAAGAAGCAAAAAAAAAAACTTATTACATTTACAAAAAAAAAAAAAAGAAAGACAGGGGTAATGGGGGGGGGGGGTGTTTTCGGGATTCCCACCCTCACTCATTAAATACGTGGGACAGTTCGACCAATTACTGCTGCCATTTAAACGAGAAAGTAGTAAAGTGAATAAATAACAATACCAATTATGTTAGTCCTTGTATATATAGTATAAAAAAATGAATTCAATAGCAGTTTCCATTTTTTTTTTCAATCTCCTTGATAAAAATTTAATTTAAAAACGATTGATTTTTTGTGACTCGGTCATGGCATAAATTTATTATAGATCCCAGGCCCGTAGGTAGCAATTTCAGTTGGGGGGGGGGGGGGGGCAGCCATACATTTTCAGATGGGTGCACTATCAACTACCAAAATTCCTTGACAAGCAAAAAAAAAAGGGGGGGGGGGGATCAGACGTTTTTATTGACGGGGCACAAGCATATAGTAGCTTTGTTTAATGTAGTATTCTATATATCGGCAAAATTATTGGGGGGGGGGGGCAAGGCCACCTCCCGGTTCCTACGGCAATGTATCCTGAATGTATTATTATTATTAACGGTTATGACTGCTTGTTCTGCTTGTCTATCATATTTGTTTTTTTGAAAGGATTATATAGAATATAACTTCATAGATCGGGCATTTGAACATGGTATTTGGGGGGGGGGGGGGGGATGGTAATATGTCGCTTGACATGTGGTCTATAATTTTTTTTTTCCGATGGTCTGTAATGATAGCCATTTACTACTGTCAGTAGCTGGTTTTTTTTTTTTTTAATATTTTTGTTTAATTACAAAGAATAACGATCCGAAAACGTCCACATGCAATATGTATACGATATTATGATTATTTTATCGTCTTCTATACTCATTATCACCTATCGATTTGTAGTTGTGTTAGAAATTGCACATGGAGAAACGAAAAGTTATCTTAAGTAATTATATGAAAATTATGAGTAAAATGTTAAAACTGGTTTCGAACTATACAAAAGTCTTACATGTTGTTATGTTTCAATTTAATTTTCACTTCTCACCAGATAATCATTACTTTATGATTTTATTAAAAGGGTTTATAATAGGTACTCCCCAACATGGTAGTGTGTAAGATATGATAATATGATAAGAAAACGATTCGTTAGCAATAATTAATTCGATCGTGTTTGTCATCTGAAATCTCTTTTCATATCTATTGTGGGTATATAAAAAACGTTTCTCATTGATGATATAACATATTTATCATAATTAGTGAACTTTATTTCGATTAAGTAATTTATATTGAGTAAAGTGGTATACATGTCATTTCCGTTTATCTTGGTTTTTTTTTTAACTTCAGGTTCCGTTTTGAAATTCAAATACTTTGGAAATCTTGTGTTTTCGTTGCGGCCGATTTGATGCTTTGCACCACTCTTGTTTAAAAGTCTGTAGTGGTTTCTTTCCTGACAATCTGTGGTGCGCAGGATTGCCGTCAAACGTCACTATTTTACGTGTATTACATGTATGAACAACAATTTCATTTCAAATGTCCGGGAAATGTCATAAATTTCGGAAGTGCAACGAAATTCTCAAAATGACAATAAAATAGATGGTAACTTCAAACGTATTCATTTTTAATGGACCTTCTCATTTTAATTTTATGTTTTTGTTATTAAAGAGTACGTGTGTATTTTCTGAAAAAAGTCTATTTTTTGTTTGTACGCCGTATGACCATACAATAACACATTTAAGAATGATAAAATCCTTATCCATGTCTACTATAGTATATATTTTACTACATTAATTCAGTTTTACTCAAATATGATGGATTAACACTTGTATTTGTTTTCAGCTTAACGTGTCTCTTATTATCATTTAAAACGTGTTACATGTATCAACGATTATACCAGACAAACGCTGTATATAACAAATATTTGGCATTTCTTTAGAGTACAAATAGCTTTAATTAAAAAATAAACCAAAAGTTTTCAGAACTTCTTGAAAAATTCATAGTTTAAATTTTCCCAAAATTTTAAAGAAGAGCCTATATTGGTTATTTTTATTCCATTAACGTACAGATGTTACTTTCTTATACAAAATGTCAACGTCACGACGTTAAAGTATGTAACGTCAACGTTATGACGTGATACTATTAATAAGGAAAACGATACCAAATTTAAACGACTGTAAAAAGAAAACCAGAAGAGATATTGTTAAAAAATAAATTGTTTTACAACATACAAATCTTAGAGTTTTATGTGAGAAAGTTTCATTTATTTTGATGACTGGGCCGATTTAACCCCTTCGTGGATTTAGCTCTTTCAGATGTGGAGTCAAGATGAGTTCCCAGCGCTTTTTACAATTTTACTACTAACTGTACAGATAAATACAGTGGGCTCAAAAGAAGGTAAGATATTTTTATTTATTGCGTTCACAATCATTTGAGCATAAATGTTTTTTTTTTAAATCTTTGTTTATCCTAAATAATATGTTTTTATAATCTACTATATAGCTTTTTATTTATTGCAGCATGTAGTTCACCATATTCTAACCTTGCTGGAACTGTCTACAAGTCCACATTTGCTTCTTTTGACCCAGACTCCGAACTCTATAGGACAGACACAACGATAGAAGGAATAAATCAGGGAACTGATCAAAACTCAGGAGTCATCATTACCTTTGTTAGATCAGCAGCTACTCCTGTTGATCTTAACTTGAATAGTCTATTCGAACTGATAACCTTACCAGTATCAAACTCACAATTTGGGAGTAGGACTTTTATCCGATTAAAATCGGTAATTGACAGCGGTGTAAGTTTTATATATATATATATATATATATATATATATATATATATATATATATATATATATATATATATATATATATATATATATATATATATATATATATTACTTTCTTACTTTTTGAAAGTGTTATGAGACTTCTTAAATAATCATCAAAAACATACATGGAAAATGAACTTATTTTCCTCATTCTATGAATTCTCTATTATGACTTTTAGTGACTTTATTTATTCTTATCAAATTTTAAATATTTAGGGGAGTTCCTATATTGAAAGTGATGACCTCACCACTGTTGAATTTCATTTATCTTGTCGTTCATTGGTAAGTACTTTGCAAATCTGAGTATATTTAGAAATTGTCACCGAAATATTGACATATTTTAATAATGAATTTATCTTTCCTTGCATGCTTTTGGATTTATTTGATCCAATAATTTTAATGTTTGTTCAACATGCAAACTAGCTTGCATATTCATGCATTAACTTAGGTATGAGGTTATTCATATGAAAGCTATTTAGTCAAAGTCAAGCTAAAGTGGAATTCCATGGCCCAATCTCTGCGTAAGACTAGTAGGAGAAGGTCAGACATTATAATTGATTGAATGGAATCTTTAAAAACAAAATTTCTTTCCATATATTGAATCTTTTTCTTACTCAATACCCTACATAACTAATGGTGTTAAATGAATAGATACATGTATCACCGTAGCTCTGCGTAAATGGACTTTCATGTAATTTTTATGCTGTCGACGACATTTACTCAACTTAATTTGAATTAAAGAATAAACATGGAAAAATTAGCCATACTAGAGAATTTACAAGAACCAAACAATAGTTTACAACCATTTTTGCATCCTCCGCTTAAATCCACAATTGCATATTGTTAAAGTCAAAATTTTGCAAATACTATGGTCGATATAAAGACCTTGTTTGCAAATGCAATCCGTCGTTAAGTCAATTGCTGACTAACGTCTTTCATCAATCATTATTTTCACACAGAATTGCCTACGGATTTATAACTTTAATAGTATGTGCTTTGTTGATATTATTATTAATTAATATATATGCAGAAATAAAAAGAAAACGTAAGACCTTGTAAATTATCTATTTTTTTTATTGTTGTTTAACGTCTCTCGAGAATTTTTCACTCATATGGAGACGCCATCACTTGCCGGTGGACAGCTGCAAATTTTGACCTATGCTCGGCACTCAGGGCCATTTAGCAGTGAGGGATCTTTTACATACCAACACCTACTGCGACACGGGACCTCGGTTTATACGGTCTCATCCGAAGGACCGGTCTCCACATCCCACAGTGGGATTCGAACCTGCGACGAACGGAACAACTTCACACTCCGCGAATCTAGAGCAAACGCTCTATTACCATTGCGCCACGCGAGCGACCCTTATAATTCTAAAAAATAGAAACAAATATCTTATTTTGGCTCTCTGATTTTCAGAATAACACAAAGGAAGCAAAGATTTACCAGATGCAGCTAGAAATTCGAGATATAAATGATAAATCACCAATATTTAGAAATGCTCCTTATTCTGCTTCAGTCGTTGAGGTTTGTCTACTTTCTTGATTATTGAAATTTTAAGTATATTAAAAAAAGCATATTAAAAAATCAATAAGATCACTAGATCTTTTGATCCGCTCACATAGATCGCTATACATGGATGTGAGGAACCCCCGTTTAGGGTCATTTCCTTGTGACCTTCCAGATTCCACGAGTGTCTTACACCACTGCATGCAATTTAATGAACATGTCACGAAATCTTTATTATATCGTGACATTGTCCATCTATTTTATGTTTCGATTGGATTTCCCATAGCAAAGCATGGACATTGTCATTCTTTACATTATATTATATTGGGGATATCTATCTCTTATTAGCAAATCCTCATATACCACTGAATACAATTTAAAGCTATATATGGCGTATCTGAGCTAAAAAATAAAAATACGAGACTGAGTGTAGATAAACATGATATATATTATTTACGTTCAAATTAAAATTTTCACCGATTTTGAAGTTGAATAACCTCATGTTTTCAATAGTTAAATTGACTTTAAACTGTGTCTGTTATTTAAATGCAAAGTCGGTAAATAAATCGGTTATTGTTTTACAGGAAAGTCCTATCTTTATATAAAGTAATAAAACAAATACGAAGATCTTTTTTAATTTTAGTTAGTCTGAACTTGTAAAAAAAAAACGCCATATATGACTTTAATGCGCAGGCTCTTAGAACGAGGGGGTGGGGGGCACTTTTCCTGAGTATAGTATTCTTTCCTTCAGACGCTGTTTGCCCCTCCCCCAACTTTTTGTCGAGCACTGGCAATTCTCAGGATTTGGACAGTAAATTAGGTGTTTGTATATTTTTTTCTTGTCAAATTTTTTGGGAAGTTGCCCTACCCCCACTTTTGAAACCGTTGCTACTGCCCTGATGAGGTTTTCAGTAAATCTTAAATACATAGTGCCTTTGTGGCCTTTTATTTATGTTTCGATCGTATAAATATATAGTGATTCTCACAGCAAAAATGGATTCGCCGTTCGTTATTCAACAATGGGGATACCCTGTCTTGTATCCTCAGCTCTTCCTATACCACTGAATAAAATTTAATGAGACTTTCATAGAACCTTTTTAGTGACATTGTGCACCTCCGATTTTACGTTTTTATCGGACAGATATTTGGCGTTTACCATAGCAAAACATGGATTGTGCTATTATACTCAATGAAGGTGTAACCACTTTGTTTATGCAACTCCTCCTTAACCAGTGGAACTTAAAGTTTTACGGAACAGCATTTTCATACTGCCAGGAAATGCACTTTTCGTTAAATATTATGGGAGTTGGGAAATATCATTTTGTGATCAAGTAAGTGATCACATTGACTCTAGTTTAATTGGACCTCAAATTTTTAATGTCTTCCACTAATTTAAGATATTTTGAATTTTTAGGTCACAAAAAATGAGGCGAGAACTCAAAATCCAAGAATTGGAACTGTACAAGTCACGGTTGATGGCAGAGATCTTAATGACAACCCTCTAATATTTCGGGCACCTAGAGACGTTGGCAATATAGAGGGAAACAATCAAGTTCTACCGGACGTGCGTAAAAATGAATAATTAACACTGCAGTTAAACTACTGTATTAATTGTCAGGTTGGAAGTAACTACTGTTGAAAGATAAAACGTTGTAGATATATCTGAATGTCAAGTTGAAGGCCACAGCAAGTGTTTTCTTCTTTTCATGTTGTAATGGGACTTATGAGGGTCGTTCAATAAGTACTGCAAAAGTTCATCAAAATAAGAAAAGAACAAAAAGCAGTTCCTTTATATATCCAATCCTTTACGCACAACTAGAACATCTCATCATACTCTTTTTAGGAGTAACCCAAAAGAATGACTGAGACCTAGCAAATTCGGAGGATAACTAAGCTCTGTAAACGTTCCTTTCTTCAAAATTTCATTTCATCTCTATGCCTATTTACAGCACGTTGTTAATTAAAAGTAATCCACCCTGGGTACTGGTATTTGAACTTCTCTCAAAGAAAATCTGCTTATAATATCTCAATATAATTTCAACATAAAAGCTCCATTGACGGCACTTTCTTTAAGTATCGGTAAATTATTATTTGACCTCTCGAATAAAAAGAAACCCCCGTATATGACCTGTTTGGAGCTAAGGTGTATTGAAATAACAGGACGACAGCTTCCGCTCTAATTCCACATTGTCTTACATATATTTACTTCCATTTGGGCTATATTTATATCCACTGAATATTTTCTCCTTTATTTCTAAAGAAAACCATTGCCATTTATCAGTTCATCAACAACACTAGGCATATCACCTGTACAGATTTCTTGATCAGTGGCTTTTCCATCAATGAAACGTGCTAGTACATGTATGACGTACATATCAATAATACAATAATTAATCTTTTAATCCTACTTTAAATGATTATTTATATAGATATAAATATAAACAATAAAATGTCTTTCTTTGATTGTTAGTACGGGAATTAACGTCGCAGCTATTGCAGAAAAAAATTACATAACCCGCTTACGCGGGTTATGTTTTTTTTTTTCCTGCAACAACTGCGACATTAATTCCCGTACTAACAACCAAAGAAAGCATTTTATTGTTTAAATAAACAGTGCAACCATGTTTCGTCACCCATCACGCAGGCTTACATGTATATAGTTACATTCTTTTGTTAAAATGTTTATATTTTAATAGATCCTTGGCACATTTCACGCGTATTTTTTGTAGCCAATTGAAAGGAAAAAATGCGCTCATTTGTCAGTTTTTTTTAAATTCATTCCTTCATCAGAACTCGGCATTTTTTGTGTCCCTACAGATCTCGATCGACCAGTTCGACTGCGATCTTTTAAGTCCCCTTTCCCCTGAGTTTTCTAATCCACCTGAACACTGTATACTGAGTAAAAGACTAGATTTTCCAAACATGAAAACCGTACCTTATTTAGGTTTTTTCAGCGATTTTTGTAATGAACCGCAGTGTTACATAAGCCCTAATTTTCATCTTCTAGACACAGACCTTTTAAAAACGGTTTTAAGCTCAGTGAAGTGACCATGCTTACTTTAAATGTGAATTTACTTGCGAAGACAAAGGTTAAAAAAAAAAACCTTGCAGTTTTCGATGATAACGGGTTTTTAAATACAACTTTTTTCTAGTGTGAATAAATAAAATTACCTGCTTCTACATTTATTATGATAAACCGTATGGTGAAATACATGAAGATAACGAACATTATTCGAGCTCAAGAGTCCTTTAAACATTACAAAATAGGAGCAGAGCAAACACGGACCTCTAAAACATCAGAGGTGGGATCAGGTGCAATTTCAGGTGCATTTCCTATTGAATGATCTTCATATAAACAAAGAAGATACATGTATTGTTACAAGCCATGCCTGCTGGATTCATAACATATTTTTCCATGTTATCTTTTGAATTGATCTTGTTTACTCATATTTTTCTGCACAAAATGAATCGGAATTTAACTTCAGAAAAAAATATGCATATGATAGTCAACATTAATCAGTTATTCATTATTGTTCAAATGTGTTTACAAATATAATGATCACTCAAAAATGATTTTTTTTTTTTTTAGCCCAGCAAAAAGTTCTCCGAAATTTTTTATGGTATAAATATCTTATAATAGTTTTTCGATCATTTAAATACATAATTGCAATTTTTTTCTTTATTACAGAACTTCAACAATCATCCTCCAGTTATTCAGGCTGTGCCTTCCCCTCTACAGTTTTTGGAAAACATCCCAGTGGGGACTGTTCTTCTTTCTAATATTACACTAACAGATGCTGATGCACAGGTCAGTTAGCAAGGTTATCATTGAATTTAGCATAAAACTAGCAATCAAAAAGAGAAATGTTTTACCTTTGTTGAATGAATGGTATGCTGCTTTTCAAATGCCTGAGAGTCATGCGTAGTGTGCAACATACGTCACAAAATGACCCTTTGTAATCCAAATGGTTTATTGATTGTCTCTGTATTGAGAAACTCATTCATACATTGTGCATAAATATGTCTTCTCCAGAACTACTGAACTGAATTCACTCAATTCAGCAAACAGTATTCACTTTGCATAACTCAGAAAACTGTAAAATTTTGGTTAAGTGTCAAATTCCTCACAAGGGAAATAACTTGAAAATGATACCTAGCATACTTTTTTTTCACGGTATCATAACAACGTATAAAAAATGGCTCAATCATGTGACATTTTGAAAACCAAATTCCCCAGGACCGGAAGAGATTTCAGGAAATTGAAATTTCTTCATAAGAACATGGCTTATGATTTTTTGTACTATTTTTCCCAAAAAATGCCAAAAAAGGAAAAGAAAAGAAAAATGAAATAAGTAGAAATCTAGCAGTAGCTAAATATTTTAAAATATGTTTAACCTTTGTCTCTATTCTTTATTTACAAGATAGAACACAACCGACAGTTGTCGATTAACATTCCTGATAACCTCTGTGAATTCCAGTCCCACACAGAATAAAAACATTCTGGAATGGTTCTATATCAATCCAGGAACTGGACGGATAATACTTGGAAAATCATTTCAACAGGACCCTGGTGTTACAAGATACGATGTTAGTATCATGTGTATTTTCAACTGAACCAAAGAAACCTGTCTAATTTCGAAGCAGTGATGTCATACTGTCGACTCATCAATAATGCATCTGCACTACAGCAAGCTTTTTATCTTTTTCAACAGATTGTAGTCACTGTGCAGGACCGTGGAGAGCCCACATTGTCTGATTCTACCACAGTCACCATCAGTGTGGTTAGAAATACAGCTCCATTTTTCCCAGCTCCTAAATCCAAGACGGTCAACATCCTCAATAGCCATCAGGTTAATACAGAAGTCACCACCTACACAGCTAAAGACAGTGATAATGAGGTAGGACAGTATTAGAAGAAGATGCCACCACCTACATTACAAGAGAATCTAATGAAAATCATCAAAAAACAAAATGTCAGAGTGAATTAGTACCAAGTTCTTGCATAAGTTTTAATATGTTTTATCATCTTTTTGTACACAGCCTCAGTTTAACCAGGTGACATACTCTATGGTAACAGATGCTACTAGTGGTTCCCTGTTCAGACTGGACTCTAACAGTGGACGGATTACGTTGATTAGTTCCCTTACAGCTGATGATGCTTCTCAATATTCAGTAAGTGTCGAACAGTGCTTTTGTATATGGGGGACTTTTGTATCCCTCCCTTAAAAGTTTCAAGGAGACTTAATGATTACCTTGTTTAACTCACAGTTTTAGTTATCATTAAATAGAATGTGAACATTCATTTGAATAATTAGATTAATATAAGAGTTTTTGTGTTTACTTCTGGTAGATTTATTGTGAATGACAAAAAACTTTTACAGCTGATCATAGTAGCAAGAGACAATGGAGGTTTATCTGATACTGGGATAGTTGTTGTCAATGTGAACCGCAATAATTTTGACCCACAGTGGCTTCCAATTGGTGGACCCTACAGTGCAGCAATCAGTGTTACTGAAAATAGACCTGTCCTAGAAACTGTTTACACCCTTTCAGCTCAAGATTTGGATATTCAGGTACAGAAAATCATTTATCAAACGACATATGACATTGAATACTTAAGTATCAGATGAATACAGTGAATTTGAACAAACTTTAAACAGGTATAATATTTATGTCAGAATTTTTATTGAAAGTATTAAAACTTTTTAATCTTAGGAACCGGGTCAAACTAGAGTCTACACCATTTTATCAACTGCTAGTGCTTCCCAGCATTTCCAAGTCACAGGTCAAGGACAAGTCCAAATCATTCGTTCTCTGGTCATTGATCGGTCTGTCAATCAGTATGTGGTGAGTATGCATTACTTTTTTTTTGACAATCCATTTTATCTAAGATGCATTATGTGACTCTGTATGTACAGTGTAGTTGTGTGATCTCTGATATACAGTGTACATGTAATTTTTTGAAGAGCTCTCAATTTAGATTGAGAACTTCCATTTAGCATCTTTTTTCACAAATCTATGAACAGTCTGAATTATTCAGTTTTTAGAAATCTTCATGCACTTAAATCTAGGAAGTACCAGAAATAAAATAAAGTATCTGTGTAAATGGAATTTAGTTTCATAAACAAACTTCCCAAGATACAATTAAGTCATAATGTTTTTGGTTTTTCAGCTGACCATCCAGCTAAGAGATGGTGGAAATAGAGTAGCAGCACAGCAGTTTACACTGACAATAAACATCATCAGAAACTCTAATCCTCCAGTTTTCTTTGACACTTCATATTACAAAGAAATTGAAGAGACATTAACAGTAGGCTCCAGTATTCTACAAGTACAGGCCAGTGATCAGGATCCTGAAGTAAATTGAATATAAAAAGGGGGCTTTTTCTGTACACTTTTCTTGTCTGATATCAAACATGCTAATACAGAACAAATTATTTTGTTACATTTCATTGTTCAGAGAGATCAATTTTCAAAATTAGAAATATTTAGGGTAATATGATTTTTTTACATAAAGGTAGAGTAATAAGTTTGTTATAATTAATATGCAATTTTCAAAAAACCTATCTCTGCTCAGCTGTTCTTACATGTATGTATCCCAATATTATGTGAATTTAATTGCAGCTACAGTTCAGAACAATTACCTACACACTGTTAGCTACCATTGCTGGAAATAACCTGTTTTCTATGGAAATGGGGACTGGCATTGTTAGAGTAAAGAGTGCATTGACTAGTAATCCAACTGTTACATTTGATGTAAGCACAGCCAAAGCTTATTGTTAATTGTTAGGAGAACAAATACATGTATCTTATTTTCAGTAGAGAAACATAATGAATAAGCAAAATTTAATTTGGTTTGAATTTTCCATTCCCCTCATTTCACAGATGGTAGCACTTGCTGCAGATGGCGGTAGCCCTTCCAAGTCAGCAAACGCAATGGTTACAATTAAAATCAACAGGAACCGCAACACTCCAGTGTGGAATACACTGAATTATCAGACAGTCATCTTGGAAACACTGCCAGTGGATGTACCCTTAACTCTTAGTCCAGGTGCACTAACAGCCACAGACAGTGATGCCCAGCCACCCAATAACCAAGTCAACTACCGCTTGAAAGCTGTTGTTGCCAGGTCAGGATCTACAACATATCCAAGTGAACAGGGCAACTTTGCTGTCAGTAGCAGTGGACAGGTGACAGTTAGAAGTCCATTAAATGGACTAACTGCCACAACTTATGAGGTGTCATTTTTTTTTCTTATCTTTCCATATCTTTTATTTCTGTAAATCTTTCATTTTCATCTTTTATTTCTGTCCCTGAAAATCTAAAATGTTTAATTAAGACAAAGTAACTGATTATCTTTAAACAAAGTGACTAGAAAAATTGTCTATATTTATCAACATGAAGAATATTTTTTGAACAGTTGCTTGTAGAAGCATATGATTTGGGAGATCCGTCCAGGATTAGCACAAGCAATGCCACAGTCACTGTTAATGTACAGCGAAACAGAGCACCATCTTTCCCCTCGTCATCTTATGCCTTTACAATGAGGGAAGATGCTACAGTCACTCCTCAAACCATAATTGGACAGGTTTCTGCAACTGATCCTGATACTGGAGTAAGTCCTTTTTTTAAAAGAAGGGCATTGCTGAAAATCCACATTTAATTATACCACTTCTTTCTCTATCACCTTTATACATTAATTTCTTCATTCATGAACATTTCACCTAATGATATTGACCAACCAAAGTAATGTTCATAAAATCAAGAGATTCTGTTGTTGGGGTAGTACTAAAATCAAATGGCAATGACTACAACCATAAAAATGTCATCATTGTTGAATGAGACTTACTAAAGGATCATATAGGCCACTAAATGAATAATGTCTTTTTTTCTCATTTATTTTTTGCTACGTTAGTTTGAAATTTCTTCAATTCTTGACTCCATACAGTTATATATTGACATTGCCCTTAGTACAGACTTGTTCATCTAATACAGACACTATAAAAGAAAAAGAACCCCCCTTCCCCCCTTTTCTTTGGAAATTATGGATAATGATGCTGATTCCCTCTATATCATCCTTAGATACACTATGAATTCAAATATGAATGAAAGCTTAAGTGAGCTTTTTTTGATCACCCGTTTTCTGTTGTCCATCCATCTGTAAACTTTTCACATTTTCAACTTCTTAAGAACCACTGGGCCAATTATAATCAAAGTTGATACAAAGCTTCATTGGGTAAAGGGGAGTTTAAATTGTTAGAATGAAGGACCAAGTCCCCTTCCAGGTGGAGATAATTTAGAAAAGACAAAATAGGGTGGATCATTCAAAAAGCTTCTCCTCAAAAACCATTCGGCAAGAAATGGTCAGAGTTGTGTTCAAGCTTTCTGATGTAGTGTAGACTCAAAGTTCTTCAAATCCCCGAGGGAGGGTGGGGACACAATAGGCAAAAAAGGTTTTACATTGATATATATAAATAGGGAAAATCTTTAAAAATCTTCTAAAGAACCAGTGGCCGGAAAAGATGAAACTTATATGAAAGCTTTCTGAGGTTAAGTAGATTCTAAATTGTTCGAATCATGTCCCCCGGAGGTAGGGTATGGAATCAAAGTTTTACATTGAAATATATAGGAAAATTTTTTAAAAATCTTTTTCTCAAGAACCACTGGGCCAGAGGAGGTGAAACTTATGTGAAAGCTTCCTGAGGTAGTGTAGCTTCTAAATTGTCCAAATGATTTTTCCCGGGGATAGGATGGGGCCAAAATAGGGAATCAAATTTTTACATTGAAATATAGGAAAAACTTTAAAAATCTTCTCAAGAATCACTGAGCCAGAAAAGATGAAAATTATGTGAAAACTTTCTGAGATAGTTTAGATCTTAAATTGATCGAATCATGTCCCCTTAGGGAAGGATAGGGCCACAATAGAGAATCAAAGTTTTGCAATCATTCAAATCATGACTCCCAGGGTTAGTGTGGGGCCGCAATAGGCAATCAAAGTTTTACGTGGGATTTTATATGAAAAGTCTTTAAAACAATCTTATTTGTAATAAGCATTGAGCCCTCTACCAAAAGTGTTAAATTAATTGCCCCAGCGTCAGGGGTTCTGAAAATCTTTTTTCTTTGTTCCTGGCTAAAAAGCTAATAAACTAATTATAAGTGCATAGTTATGGTGAGCAAGGGTGCCTATTTCAAAAGTGTAAATTCCATGGCCCCTGGGTCAAGGGTTTTTGTGTTAGCGTGGGGCTCTATTGATGATATAGTGAAATGCATATTAAATTCTTCAAAAATCTTCTCTAGCCCTGGGTATTTACCAAACAAACTAATTGCATTGTTATCATGAGCGAGGATACCTCTGCCAAAATTGTGAATTTCACGGCCCCTGGGTCTGGGGTTTTGTTGTTAGGGTGTGGCTCTATTGATCATATAATGAAATGCATATTAAATTCTTAAAAAATTTCCTCTGGCCCTGGGTATTTAGCAGACACACTAATTAAATTGTTACAATGTTCAAGGATGCCTCTTCAAGATTAGTGAAACATGGCCCCTTGGACAGTGTTTTGGTGATAGGACGGGGCTCTGTTGATCATATAGTGAAAATGCATTATTTCTTTTAAATCTTCTTTTCTACCCCTGGATATTTAAGACAAACTAAGTGCATGGTTATGATAAGCTAGGTTGCCTCTTCCAAAATTGTGAAACATGGCCGATGGGACAGGGGTTCTGATGTTAGGGCGTGGCTCTATAGATCATAAAGTGAAAACGTATAATTTCTTTGAAAATTTTCCTCTCTCCCCCTGCATACTTGCAGACAAAGTATATGCATGGTTATAATGAGCAAGGGTGGCTCTCTCAAAATTTAAAAATCCTGACCCATATATCAGTGATTCTGGTGTGAGGGCTGGGCTCTATTGATTATATAGTGAAAATGCAGAAAATGCATTAATTCTTTGAAATCTTCTAGGCAACTACCAGGTAAACAGAGAACAAAGTTATAATGAGCAAGGGTGATTTGTAAAATTTTGGAGACACTGCACTGGGTCAAGTGTTCTGGTGCTGGGAAAGTCTGTATTGATCTTATATGGAAATTTGTACTCTACCGAGATAATTTTTCCCTTTGCTATTCACCTATGATAATTAATCACTGTAAATAATGTAATTAATAGGTCAATTGAATAAGAGAATTATACAAGAATTTTAATGTATGTTACAAAAGAGGACTTTCATAGCTTTCAATGGTCAGATAGACTTGTAAATAATACATGCATGTACTAAATAAAAATGAGGGGAAAATACCTTATTTTTGTTCAGTAAATGTTCTTCAAGATTAAGAGAGGTCATTCTGCGAGGACATGTGATGGGTTTACTGTATGAGCCCAAGTACTATTGTTTAGTATAGTCTGCATGATCATTTTGACAAATGGGAGTGTATTACAGTCCCTGAAACGTTCTACTTTCCCATTTTTCCGTTCGCTCACCGTTCGTTCACCGTTCGTTCAGCGTGCGTTCACCGTTCGTTCACCGTGCGTTCACCGTTCGCTCTCCGTTCACAGTTTTGCGTTCACCGTTCACCGTGCGCTCGCGTTCACCGTTCACAAAGCGTTCAGCGTTCGCTCTTCGTTCCGTTCACTTTGCGTTCACCTTGCGTTCAGCGTTCACCTATCGTTCAGTTGTCATTGCCATTCGGAACTCCCAAGTGAAAGGACTTATCTTTTTGTAGGTAAGGAGTTACAGATTTTTTAATTTAATACTAACATATCGTGTTTGAAGAATCATTATTTCATGGGGGAAAATCTAAGATATATATATATTTATTATTCTAACTTAGCTATTAGGTTATTTATTGAATTACTCTGGAAAAAAAATGTTGTTATAAGCACATCCTGTACCTATGTAGAACGATGCTGAAATATTAAATTTAACTAAGGCCAATGTGCAAATACTTCAAGCACTGCAACATTTTGATGTTTTGTTAAAGACGACAAATCGTTAATGGAGATATAATTATCCAAGTCAAATAATTACGCAGCAAAATTACGAAAATATTTATTTCTAACGCGTTTTTTTATTCAATTACTACAGAAAATACGATAGAACTAGTTCTGAGAGTTATACATAGTACTGCGGATATCCTGTTAATTTATTATCTTCGGAGCGAATTAAATTGATAGTGTGTTTAAAGGAAATATTTATTTAAAATGTAATGCACTACAGAATATTCGCTACTATAATACATGTATGAAAAGTCTATAGTTATAGAGAAAAAATCTTTCTTCACCGTAACTTTATATGTTTGCTATTGGATTTAATTAATACCCCCCCTTTTCCCCTAAATCTGTTACTTAGTCAGTACTGTATTTCCAGAAAATTTTAATTAACCTGTTAAAAAAAAGTTAAGGTCTTTTTTAGAACAAAAATTTCAGTCTGAAAACAAACATGCATCTAAAAAAGTCACAAAACAATAGTAGCTCAAAATGTACACGTGTCGGCGGTGGTATTTGAAATTGGCAGAGGGTATGTTTCAAATTCAAGTGTTAATGCCCAATATATTTTATTCACTAATTATTCAAATGTTGGTATCAAATCTAGAAATGATAAAAATAAATGTTATAACTTGTTGGAAATACTCGCACTTCGTCTTCGATGTGACGAAACTTTCACACCTGCACAGTGTCGAATGATTTTGATTGACAGGACAAGCACGTGGACTTCGTGTGAACTTGAAGCAGGAAAATAAAAACGAGTAATACTGTCAAACAGATGGATATGATTTGTTGATAAAAAAAAAGTTACTTTCACTGTCTAATATATTTAGAAAAAAAAAATATCAGAGTTATTGTTTGATATAGGTGCAAACATTTAGTGAAGCCTGAAAGGAAGGGGGGGCTGAAACGGAATCTCTCTCTCTCTCTGTCTCTCTCTCTCTCATTTGTCTGTTTGATAAAAATTATAACAGCATATTACTTAAATATCAAGTTCTGAAAATTGAATTTATAACAAATAATTTGAATATGTATCTTTGTATTATCTTGTCTGAGTATAATCACGGCCATCTACAGATACATGTAGAAGTCGGCTCAATAAATCATCATGAAAAATAGAAATGACACATAATATATTATTGTATTAAACATTTAAAATACGAGCGTATAAATGCAAAACATCCACTGACCTTTGTAATTAATTTTTTTTAGTACTTTACATGAAATCGCCTTGACACGGAGATACATATATGAATGGATGTTACAATCGCTTTAATTCATTCTATAAGTCAGAAGTTTTCTCTGATTTGTTATCAAATAAGAATAAACATTTTTATTTTCCAACTAAAAAATATCTTTTATACTTCAGCGTTCGGCAACAATTGCAATGTTTTAATGCGTTAAAAATCGTGTGATTAAAAAATTAATGTGCATGAATCGTCTTTCTTAGAACAATTTTGGAGAATTTATTTTATTTACTTACTTATTCATTCATTTATTGGTTTACTTATTTATTATTATTATTTTTTTTTTTGGCACCTGACGTTATGATACAATAAAATAGTTTCAATGCAAGGAAAAGATCAGAGGCATTCCGAATATATCGTTCATCTTGCGTTCACCGTTCGTTCACCGTTCACTTTGCGTTCGCGTTTGCGCTCCGTTCGCGTTCTGCGTTCGCTCACCGTTCACCGTTCACACATCGTTCACCAAGTTGCGTTCAGCGTTCACACATCGTTCACTCACCGTTCGCTCTGCGTTCGTTCAGCGTTCGTTCACCGTTCGTTCAGCGTTCGCTCACCGTTCAAGTGGGAAAGTAGAACGTTTCAGGGACTGTAGCACTGCTAATGAGTACTAGACTAACTATTTCATTGAACCCTTATCTTCTGGGCAGCATATATCCATCTCATTTTATTTTTATTTTAGATGTCTATGGATTGTTTACAGTGTTCTACTCAGGTGACCGTTAAGGCCCATTGGCCTTTTGTATAATTGTAACTTTTCCTTTTGTATTTTGTGTGCTACATTAGCTTTAAATTCCTTTAATTTTTGACTATATAGTTATATTTTTTCATAATGTCCTTATTACAGTCTTGCTCATCTAGTACAGACGCTATTAAAGAAAATGAACCATATGCCCTCCAAGATTTCTAATGATCAAAGGTTGTGTCTTTTTTTTATTCAAGGTCTTTTTGGTTTTGGCAAGTTCAACGTTACATATGCAAAATTTGAATGGACACTTTAAAAAATTAAGGCGGGGTGTTATTTTGTGAGCTCGCTTACAGTATCTCTAGTTTTTCTTTCTCCTAAATTTAAATTATCAGTTTTGTTTGTGCTTTTATAAAGTCAATTGATATATTATGCTGAAATATGGTTTATTTTTTCATTTGATCAGATACCTCAGTTCAATACATTGTCATATGCCATCGAATCTTTGGGAGTGGGATCACCCGCTATATATTTTAACATGGACTCCAATGGCCGCATCACATTACGGAATCTTGTAGGAGGAATATCCCATTCAGAATTCCGGGTAGGTCTGAAATAAAATTTTAAAAAATATTTATTTACAATTTCGAGTTCTGAAACTGCCTAGTGCATCTATGTCAGTATTTTTTTTCTAGTACATTCTTACTAATTAATCTTCTAAATACTTTGTAAAATGAATTTGTTTAACTACTTTTGTTAAAATTTGTATATTTACTGAGACAACAATAACTAATATAAAAAGACTTTCAGAAATTGGTATAGACCTTCTTATGAGTTTTGAATACTGTGGAATCAATGTTTCGTGGACAAGCAAAATTTTTCTGGTTCTTGGGAATGTAATTTCGTTGGTTTATACAGTAGTTTGGATGAATCAATAAATAGTTGTTCGTGGGGATGTAAATTCTTGAATAGGGATAACCCACAAAATCTATGAACATTGCTACACCACGATCAATGCATGATTCAACAGTTAAAAGTTTAAAAAGTAATGGAATTTGATTGTGTCAATCATTTAAAGTGATATAGTATGTAACTTTGCGTATTTTTTATTGTGGGATGAATGGAGGTATTTTATTTCCTCTGAGAGTATACTACAAGAAAGAGTTTCATGTCATATGTTAACAAGAAAACAAGCAAATTCAAAGAACTGTGGCCCCCCGCTTTCGTTGTCCTTGTGGATGGGATGTCATTATTTATGGCATATTGTAACTGTCTTGTTTGTGTGTCCTGTCTTGTCTGTGCTTTATTCAAAAGAGACATAAATAATTGAATTAATAACAGTTATGGCAAAAATTATAGCTTCTCAAAACTACATCAAACTTCAAGATCAAGGTCATGAGATCAAATATCATAATAAAATCCGAAAGGTCTTGTCACAAGTAATGCAAATGTGAAAAAAAAATCAAAAGCCATAGCACACAATAGGAAACGTCTTGAAACAGGTAATGCACATGTCAAATGTAAATGCTATATCTTCTCTCAATCAAAATTTATTAGCAATGTTAGAATTTTTGAAAATTAAGTCAAACTTCAATTTCAAGGTCATGGGATTTAAAATCATACTATTTTTGGAAATGCTTGTCACAGGTAATGCACGTGTCAAATATGAATGCCCTAACTTTGCTCCTTCAAAACTTAGGAACACAGATGAAATGTTTGAAAATTAGGTCAAACTTGAAGGGCAAGGTTACGGGGTCAAATATGATAGCACTTTCGAAAACAAATGACACAGGTAATGCACTTGTTAAATATGTACTCCCTATCATATGTCATTCAAAAGTAATCACCAAAGGTAAAATTTTTGAAAATTAGGTCAAACATGAAGGTCAAGGTCAAGGAGTCAAAAGTCATAGCATGCTCGGAATCGCCTTCTCACTGGTAATGCACATGTCAAATATGAAAGCCCTATCTCTTCTCAATCAAAAGTTACAAGCAAAGATAAAAATTTTGAAAAGTAGGTCAAACTTCAAGGTCACGGGTTCAAAAGTGGTTGTATATTTGGACTGAGAGACGGACAGACTGACAAACAGACGAATGAGATCCAATGTCCCTTCGCTTTTGCAAAAGCAGGGGACTACAATGCTCGTTTCTTCATCACACACTGTAATGTGTATGTGTTCTTTTGTGGATAATATTCTAATGAATATGTTTTCAAAAATAAGGAAAGAAAATTTGGATAGATAGAATCAGCTTACTGCTCAGTCCAACACTGAAAATTGAATTTTTGTATTGTTTTGTTTTAGCCCTTTTCCAGTAAGAAAACTGGGAAAAGAAGAGTTTTTACATTAACGAATTTTTTTGTCAGATCAATTTTTCATTCATATCGTGAATTATTTGGAAAATTGTTATTGTTTATCATTATTATATTTTTTTCTTTTTTAGTTTCTAGTACGTGTTTCAGATAATGGAGTTCCATCCTTGTCTGATGAGGCGGTAGTTACCATAACAATAAACAGGAATCTGTGGGCTCCAGCTTTTAATCCTCTAAATTATGCCATCACTATTCAAGAAAATCTTCCAGCAGGATCTGAAACAGGTGTTACAGTGTCAGCAACAGATCAAGATATAAATGCAAGTTTTCACTTAATTTATTTTTTTTTTTTGTAGTGTCTGTGTAGCATATGTTAGATACAGCGGGATCACTTTGTCTATATTGTCAGTCCGTTTGTATTTCTGTCTGTCAATGAAGAATTCACTTCCATGTATTGTGTATCTACACTTTGTGTATATTTACATTTAGTATTTGCATTCATGAACATGTCCAATAGAAATAATACTATCATTTCCAAAAGAATTAAAAAATGTTTCTGTTTAGAACTGTATAGAGAAAATGGTCAATTCCATCAATTTATACATTTACTTTATGAAAAATTTATTTCCTATTTCATTATTTTAGACCCCAAACAATCAGATTGAGTTTTCTGCTATTGGGGACCACACGGCTGTGCAGTACGTACTTTGATGTTGTAGCAATCTCTGGGAAAGTTTTGGTGAAACAACCATTATACACTGCAACAGCTACTCAATACCAGGTAAAACTTATGTCTCACTGTCCTAATATTTTTAAGGATAAAATCAATTTATTAATGTGTCGTTTTGCAGTAGAAAGACCTCTTCAGAATCCGTAATTTCTGAGGTACATGTACTTGTTTGGGTAATGGCCCTTCATTAAAAAAAATAATGCAATGAAATGACATGAAGATATCAGAGTTCGAAATTCACTATACACAACTCGCAAAATGCGAATTAGAATTCCCAAATTGCGAGTTAAAAATTAGGTAACTTTATATGAAAATTGCGAGTAATCTTATAAAATTGCGAGTTCACTTTCTTGGTACTCGCAATTATTTGCAAGTTGTAATTTTAGGGAGTTTCTAACCCTGGATATTACACAGTTTTATTCTAATAACACTATTTTCAATATTTTTACATGTTCTTCCTTGCAGCTGAATGTCAGGGTATCAGATAAGGCAGAAAATCCACTGACTTCCCAACAAACTGCTACAGTAACTATCACTGTGGAACGAAATCTCTTTGCACCAGTGTTCCAGAATCTGCCTAGTATCCAGTCCCTTCCTCGGACCTCTGGAGTAGGCTTTAATGTGTTCACTGCTTTTTCCAATGACAGTGATACAAAGGTAAGTTTTTGGATTGATTAAGGGACAAGAGGTGTTTTTCATGATATTAAATTTCAATTGGAAAATTCAGTTTGTGACTTTGCAAAGTATCCATTCTGTTGCAGTCTCCATTCAATGTTGTCTCATACTCCCTGGTATCTGGAACCAATGAATTTTCCATCAACCCAACAACTGGTATTGTAACCCTGCAGACAAATTCACTTTCTCGGGCTGAGTATGTGGTAAGCCATCTTTCTCACATGAAGAACCTTTTCAAACCTTGACAATTAGGTTTGCTCAATGCAGAAGTTGCTTTGTGTGTTTGGAAGAGGTATTCTTTTTCTCTAGGAAAACAAACAAAATGTAGAATATTATGTACACTTTTTTGCCCATTCTGGACTAAATCTTATATTGTTATGAAATTAAACTAGGATTCAAATTGGAAATATTGAATGTTAATTAACACAATAAACTTCAAATATTCATTAGTGAAATTTACATGTTTATTAAATCAATTGCATGTAAACTATCCTAATTAGATATATGTACGTAAAAAATAATGATTTCTTCATTTGCAGTTGACAGTGGAGGCCAGAGATGGAGCAAATATCCCCAGGAGGACCTACTCCTTGCTGACACTAATAGTGGACAGTAATTTGGCCAAACCAACCTGGGTGAGACCTGGCGCTGGTGATTCATATGCAGCTCAAGTGACAATTCAGGAGACTCAGGACTACGTCACTTCAGTGTATGACTTCCAAGCAAGTGATGCAGACAATGTGGTAAGATTTCTGTCTCCTATCTGTTTGGATTATTGATGGAGGGATGTCACATGTGACCCAATGCATAAGTTGTAGTATGTCAAACCAAAGGAAAAAAATTCTTTTCTGGTTACATTGAAGCTTTATATACTTTTAGTAAATAACAGGGTTAAAGTAAAGTTTACTTATAAACCTACTAGATTTAATAAAAAATTATTAGTTACCAAACTGACTGTTGATAATTGAGTTCAAATTTATTTCTTTATAATTGTAAACGAATTTTGCTGCATTGTTAATTTTTAGCTCTACTGGTCAGAGACCAGAAGAGCTTATGCGATAGTAAGGTGTCCGTCGTCCGTCCGTCTGTCTGTAAACAATTTTTCAAAACGCTACTCCTCCTACAGTTTTGGTCTGATTTCAATATAACTTGGCACACAAGTAGACTACATTAAGATACATAATTTAGTGCATCGGTTTTTGATTTCACTGAACGGTGTTGTTATGGTTACTAAAAATAGAAATTTCTGTGAAATTCCTTTAAAACACTACTCCTCCTACAGTTTTGGTCTGATTTCAATATAACTTGGCAAACAAGTAGACTACATTAAGATACATAATTTAGTGCATCAGTTTTTGATTTCAATGAACAGTGTTGCCATGGTTACTAAAAATAGAAATTTCTGTGAAATTTCTTTAAAAGGCTACTCCTCCTACAGTTTTGGTCTGATTTCAATATAACTTGGCACACAAGTAGACTACATTAAGATACATAATTTAGTGCATCAGTTTTTGATTTCAATAAACAGTTTTGCCATGTTTACTAAAAATAGAAATTTCTGTGAAATTCTTTTAAAATGCTACTTCTCCTACAGTTTTGGTCTGATTTCAATATAACTTGGAACACGTGTAGACTACACTAAGATACATAATTTAGTGCTTCGGTTTTTGATTTCAATGAACTGTGTTGTCATGGTTACTAAAAATAGAAATTTCTGTGAAATTTCTTTAAAACACTACTCCTCCTATAGTTTTGGTCTGATATTAAAATAACTTGGCAAACAAGTATACTACACTAAGATACATAATTTAGTGCATCGATTTTTTATTTCGATGAACGGTGTTGCCATGGTAACTAAAAATAGAAATTTCTGTGAAATTTCTTTAAAAGGCTACTCCTCCTTCAGTTTTGGTCTGATTTCAATATAACTTGGCGCACAAGTAGACTACATTAAGTTACATTATTCTATTTATTGCTGCGTGTTGCAAAATTTCAAATCCAACTGCTACTTTTCCTTTGTTATATGTACAGACCAGTAGAGCTTCAGTCTCATCAGAGACTTCTGGTTAAATATTGTACTGTAGATTCCTTATTTTACACAAGTACTTAATATCACGAAATGGCCCTAGGACGTCAAATTGCAAGAATAATAATTCACGAGTGGATGATTAATCTAGAGATATTACATACAATTAAGCACCATTAAAATAAAAGCGAGTAGTTTTATTTCACGAGTGTTGCTTCTTGCGAAATTATGCAATTATTTATTCCTCGCACATATTCAGGAATGTACAGTAACTATCAGTTTGTAGAGACTTTGTTTCAAAGTCTTGATATGAACTTAATGACACTTTTTTCTATAAAATAATCTTTTTATTTATTGTTTGACAGAGCCCTTACAATACTGTAAGATATGTGGTGGAGGGTGAAGGAAATGCTCCAAATTTCTTCACTGTGGCTGATAATGGACAAACTTTCCTGAAAACTTCTTTACTGCAACGAACAGAAACACAGTTTGTGGTAAGTTTTGTTGGTACAGAGAAAAGCAACTGATCCAAATTACAAAAGAATGTTATACTTTATTGGAGTACTTTTTGTGAGTACATGTAAATTACATTATGTTGATTACTCTTCCTCCTATTTTGATAAATTTCAAAGCCTGAATTTTTCTAGGATTCAGCTTAAAAAGTGGATGTTAAGTAAATTTTTGTCAAACTTTCCAGCTTACAAATGAGATGGATTTATCAAAGTAAAAAAAAAAAATAAAATAAAAAAAAAATAATTTAATACAAATTTTACAATCATTTTGCTTTTGATAGCTGTTGGTAAGAGCAGAAGATGGTGGTAATCCCCCACGGCAAGCAGACAACAAAGTCAGACTGACCATCAATATTATAAGGAACAACAACGCTCCACAGTGGCAAAACCCCATGACATCAGCTCTGATCTCTCAACAAGCTGCAGTTGGACAGGCTGTTGGAACTTCTCTGTTGGCAATAGATTCTGACGTCACTTTCAATGTTGTAAGATACGAGATCATTGGGGACGGTAATGCTGGAGCTTTCTTCACCATTCCTAACCCAAGTGTTGGGCAAATCACAGTAGCAAATTCCTTGGCCTCGTCATCGGACCTGATATATTATGTAAGAATGATATAAATCATATATTTAAACTTCCTAACATACATGATTGATAGGAAAAGATTTCTTTACATAAGATGAAATACTGCAAGAGCAAACTCACTAGTATAAGTTTTAATTGTAAAAATTGCTTTCTCTTCTTTGTGACTTTAGATCCGTGTGCGAGCTTATGACAATGGGGTTCCAGCAAAAGACAATGTCACTGTTGTGACTGTGACAGTGGAAAGGAACAACTTTGCACCAGAGATCACCACCCCTAATGTTGCTGAAAGAATCCCCGAGACACAAGATCTGGGAGTTACCATTGCCACAGTGAGGGCTCAAGATAGGGACACACAGGTTCCACACAACCAGATCAGATTCAGATTGTTTGTTACACAGCCAGCTTCTGATTATTTTGATCTGGATATTTTAACTGGAAACCTTTATGTGAAGAGGGAACTTACATTAGATACAGCCACCAGATATCAGGTAGATCTATTATCAGAGAGAATGACACTCAGTTATCCATTTATCAGGTTAAAAAGGTTTTGTTTTAAACAAAGCCTTGAAGTTGTTGAATTTCATTTCATTTTTCCTCCTTGGTATCTTGATGTTAATGGTTTGGTAGACTTCATCTAAAATATGACATAGTATTTATTAAAAGTTTAAAATTCTGGGCTATTTTTTTTTTTTTTAGATGCTTGTACAAGCTTATGATATGGGGAGTCCCTCCAAAACCTCAGCAACTAATGCCACAGTGACAATAGATGTGTACAGGAATTCACAGACCCCATTCTTTACTGGTGGACCATTTAATGCCAACATTCCTGAGACCACTGTCGTTGGAACATCAGTACTTCAAGTCAATTTTGGAGATTCCGATACAGATGTAAGATTTAACAATCTAAAGTAAATAACTTGATCATGCATTTTAATCTGGCTCAAAAACTTTTTTTTCTATTTTTTGGGATGGGGTGTATTTTATTATTCTTTTAAAATGATTAAAGAACTTGTTTAGGCAGTCTGAATGTAGGATTGTATTGTATCAAAATACTGCAATGATGTTCAGATAATTTTGTCAGAGAGATTGTACTTGACTTGGTAATTTATTACTTGAAATGGTAGATATAAGATGGCATTGCCTCTTGCTAACCATAATGTAGCAAACTAAAGAAGAAATCTTTCTTATTGCTTATTAAAACTGATGCAGTACTTTGAATTGGATCATCAATAAAATATAGTATAAATACTGGCATTTTGTTGCAGGCTCCATTTAACACTGTGACTGTGTCGGCCATTGGAGATGACAAAGCTCTGACTTATTTCCGTCTAGAAAGTAATGGACGTTTGGTTGTAAACAGTGATTTAACTGCTGATGCAGATACTGAATATTTGGTGAGTTAAGCATTGATTTAAACATAAATGAACATTTAGACAATGCCCAGTCCTCGTCAAGATATTACCATGCATTAATACCGAAGGGTTTTGTTCTATGATTTCTTGTTATTGTTTCAGAGAAAACAATATTCAGCATACTTGATGTCCTGGAGATATTTGTCACTTTCCCACTCGCCTGTAGTTTTAAACGTACTTAAAATATTAAATATAAATATTATATATAAAATTATTATTTTAAATTTTTAGCAATTTGTTATTATATACAATTTACATAATTATGTTGACGTAACATTGACTTCAGATTATTGCATTCTTATCTATGACATACTTAGGGATTGATCTAATGACCCCCCCCCCCCCCCCCCCAATAAGCTAGATAGATGGCTTTTTTTAATAAGTGATATTTTATTGCAGATGAGAATTTTGGCCAGAGATGGTGGCTCTTCATCTAGAACAGCAACAACAGTTGCTACTATAACAGTTCAGCGCAACATCAATAATCCAGCCTTTGAAAGACAGTCTTACAATGAAACCATTCTAGAGACAAGACAGCTAGGGCTTTCATTTTTGCAAGTGAAAGCTACAGATAATGATCGAAGGGTAATGTTTTAGTTTGTCATTAAAAGTCCATCCAGAATGATTTTTAGGGATCAGCTATGTTCTTTGTACACTTGACATCCTTATTCTTAATAAACTAATTGCAGTAATATAAAAAATAAGATGTGTTTGTGAAACACTGATGCCCCCGTATGGCAGCTTATGGCGAAGGTTAAAGTTTCTCAAATGCAAGTCAAAATCCAGGCCAAAAGATAAAAAATGTTGATACCCAAAGAAAAGTCTTGTCTATATAAGAATATACCTGTGAAATTTGAAAGCCCTAGCACCAACCATTCAAAAGTTATGACCAAGGTTAAAGTTTTTCGAAAGTAGGTCAAACTCTTATGTCAAAGTCAAAGGGTCAAAGTGGTTGGTATCCAAAGAAAGGTCTTGTCACAAGGATTACATATGTAAAGTATGAAAGCCCTAGCACCAACCATTCAAAAGTTATGGCCAAGGTTAAAGTTTTTCAAAAGTAGGTCAAACTCCTAGGTCAAGGTCAAAGGGTCAAAGTGGTTGGTATCCAAAGGAAGGTTATGTCACAAGGATTACATATGTGAAGTATGAAAGCCCTAGCATGAACCATTCAAAAGTTATGGCCAAGGATAAAGTTTTTCAAAAGTAGGTCAAACTCCTAGGTCAAGGTCAAAAGGTCAAAGTGGTTGGTATCCAAAAAAAGGTCTTGTCACAAGGATTACATATGTGAAGTATGAAAGCCCTAGCTCCAACCATTCAAAAGATATGGCCAAGGTTAAAGTTTTTCAAAAGAAGGTCAAACTCCTAGGTCAAGGTCAAAGGGTCAAAGGGGTTGATATCCAGAGGAAGGTCTTGTCACAAGGAATACACATGTGAAGTTTGAAACTCCAAGCACCAACTGTTCAAAAGTTATGGCCAAGGTTAACTTTTTCAAAAGTAGGTCAAACTCCAAGGTCAAAAGGTCAAAGTTGTTGGTATCCAAAGGAAGGCCTTGTCACAAAGAATACACATGTGAAGTTTGAAAACCCAAGCACCAACTGTTCAGAAGTTATGGCCAAGGTTAAAGTCTCATAAAATTTTGCAAAAGTGGGTCAAACGCCAAGGTCAAAGTCAAATGGTTAAATATGATGGTACCCAAAGAAAGGTCTTGTCACAAGGAATACACATGTGAAATATGAAAGTCATAGTTCCAACCAATCAAAAGTTATAGGCAAGGTTAAAGTTGACAACAGACAGACAGACAAACGGACAAACAGACAGACAGGACAAAAACAATATACCCCCGGGATCTTTCGATCCGGGGGCATAAAAATAAGTGTTAGCTTATCATAAAGAACAACAGTCTTTCAGGAGGAAACATTTAATTTTTTCAGATGTTGATCTTCGTTTATTTTCAGGCTCCATACAATACAGTGCGATACTCCATTAGCTCTGATGCTGGAAGTGCTCTTGGTGCTCAGTATTTTATGGTGGATGAAGTAACAGGAAACATAAATCTTCGCCAGTCACCCATGCTGGATAATGCAAGAACCGTGGATTATACAGTAATTGTTTTTTCATGTTCACAGTTAGACATCTTGAATTTTTTTAATTTACTTTGTGGAAAAAATGAAAGAAGCCAGTGAAGAATAATTGTGTATGTGCAGCAGTACCATAAAATTCTAGATATTTTTTACCAATGATTAAAGTTGAGAATACATGTATACCTCCTGTTAATTATTCCTAGAGATATTTATCACAGTTAAATTGATCTGTTTTGTAGTTCAATGTAAATGCAGTGGACGGTGGTGGTCTTCAGGCAACACTCCCAGCCAGTGTAAGAGTGACAGTGATTCGAAACACCAATGCTCCAGTGTTCACCAATCTACCCAGAGAAAGCCTGATCAATCACAATACTTCAGTGGGAGCTACAGTCTACACAGTTGCTGCAACAGACCCTGACCCTGTAAGTGACCACATTCACTCTATTTAGGAAATATGAACCGGTCTTTAACTCAGTTTAAGGTTCATGACCCCTTTGTTCACTGAAATAAAATGTTGCTTTAAAACTTGCCAAAATAAAATGCAGACAATTTTAACAGTTTGCTAAGCAAAACTGGTTTTCAAAAAAAAAAAAAATTGACAAATTTACAATTATCCTATGAAGAGTTATCTCTCTTAGAGTATCAATGAGCCTTAATCGTAGCAGCACATTTTTTTCTCGACTTTATTTGAATATTGATTTTAGAGTATCAATGAGCCTTAATCGTAGCAGCACATTTTTTTCTCGACTTTATTTGAATATTGATTTTAGAAAACATATAATTTGAATTCATCATTTTTGTTAATTTTAGGGTGTGTTTGGACAGCTAACATACTCTCTAACAGGGGATGGAGATTCTCGAAGTGTATTTGCCATAAATCCTAACTCAGGGGCAATCACTCTGCAGCAGTCAGTTTTCCAAGGAACCACAACCCTGTACACGGTAATACTTTATTCCCATGCTATTTATTATTTTTTATTTTATTTCATTAATTAACTTTTACAAGCACAAGTCCACCTACCAGTGTAGTGTAAGTTAAGTACCTGTATTTGTTTTACAGTTGAGGGTGCGAGTACAGGATGGTGGCAGCCCAAGTAAAGAAGCTGTCAGTACTTTGACTCTCACTGTGCAAAGAAACTTTGAGGCTCCACGTTTTGTACAAAGTAGCTATTCCATGACTGTCAGAGAAGACAGAGCTATAGGATTTTCATTTGGTAGACTTGCTGCTACAGATTCAGATTTTGCAGTAAGTATGAAGTCTAAAATACTTTTCCTGTATATTATATTCAGAATACTTGTACAGTTAAATCTGTATGAAATAGACCAAAAACGTGGCAGCAAAGTTTTTTTTATTCTAACCATTTTAAAAGAGTATTTATTTATAGTCATTCTTAGCTATATAGAACAAATATACAATTTTTTAAAACAATTTTTTTAAATTTTTGAACAAATAACTTTTCAAATTTTTTTATACCATTAGTCTGTCCTATTTTCTACTTATTGTGGATATTTTAAAAATTCCTTTTATAGATTTTTCTCACTATTACCAGTTATCAAATTTTATATAATTCAATCTAATTTATATAATAATAACATTTCTTAACTCGTGAATTCATCTAAGTAATTGCTCTATCATTGTTAGATTTAGGATTTGGCTACTTCATGCCATCAAATTTGTACATTTTAGTCCAGTGAGATATTCAGAAATTATATTTTTTTCAATTCTACTGAAGTCGGATGTGACCAGATAAAGTTTGATTTTCTAAAAGCCGTTGAGGGTTTTGGTAAAGATATTAAATATAAATGTAACATATATGTATTTCATTTTCAGAGTCCAAACAATGTAGTTCAGTACTATTTCACTGCAGCTACACCTTCTGAGAGGTTTTTAATCAATCCTACCACAGGAGATGTTAGCATTAGAAAGGACCTGACGACAGAAGAAACAAAGACTTATACTGTAATATTTCAATCTCACCACATTCCTGTTTTATTTCCTTTCCAATTTCATTCGATCATTTGAATAGAAACAAAAAAGAGTTTTTATTTATTCTTTACTGTTGCCATTTATTTGGTGTTTATTTCATAAATGATGTGAGAAATATTTGAATGATAATTTATTCATTGTTTCCTTGTTTTGGAGTGGATAATCCTGTATCATGATTACTACTTTACTGTCCGTTCTCTATTTATAGTTCCGAGTCCAAGCTGCAGACTCGGGTTTTCCTCGGAGAACCAGTCCAGAAATTCCTCTTACCATCACTGTCCAAAGAAATGATTTTGACCCCTTATTTGGCAACCTGCCAAACAGCGTAACAATCCGAGCAGATACTGCACAGGGTTCAACTGTTTACACTGTTAATTCAACTGATGCTGACACTGTTGTAAGTTCATATGCAGAGAATTGGGGGGGGGGGGGTAAGAATGTTAAAATGCTTTTGTTTCACTATTTCTTATGCATAAAATGTAGAAATGAGACTCATTTTTTAAACTATATTTTTTCTGTATATTGCTAGAATGATTTCCAGCGTCGGGAGTATGATATTGTTGGAGATGATGCAGCCACTGGATTGTTTACCGTTGATCAGACGGAAAGAATTTTTACCACGACAGCACTGACTAATGATCCATCAGAGCAGTATAGGGTAAAACGAAATTAAAAACTGTTTCAAGCAATTAAGTTTTTCCAGCGAGATGCTGTATGATGCATTTATTGCACTGAGGTGTCATCAAAAAATTTTACTTTGAATCCACAAATTGATGGAAGTAGAAAGTTTGGCATATACGTGTAAACAATTAAAAGGTGACACCTGAAAGATGTTGTACAAAATGACATTTACCATGCAACATAGAATGATTTCGGAGGGATAATGAGTTTTTTGTTGTAATTATCAATAGGTTCGATTGCGTGTGAGGGACTTCGGAACACCTCGACGATCGTCCACGGGTGTACTCCTGGTAAATATTGTAAGGAACCTGTTTAATCCAAGTTTCATTCCTACTCAGTATCAACAAACAATTCCTGAAACTCAGACTTTAGGGGCCAGCATACTACAAGTGACATCTACTGATGCAGATACAACAGCAAGTACATTTAGTCTTTGCTATTGGTGTTTTGTTGAATAATGTGAGAGTAAATTTTTTGATGCAGAACCAATGAGAGACATAAATTTAATTCTAAAAGTATAAATTTTTTTCTGGTATAATGTCTTCTACTTATCTTTTGAAACAAATAACAGTGTTACATCTGTTGGTATTCTCTCTGACTATTTCAATTACCAATCTTTTTATTCAGGCACCAAATAATGTACCTACCTACACCCTCACTGGAAATGCTTTAGGTCTACAGTATTTCCAAGTTAATCCTGGTACAGGAGTTATCTCCCTATACAAAGATCTAAGAGATGATGCTGCGGACACACAAACCTACACTGTGAGTGAAAATCCTATTTAAAAAAAAAATAGTGTCAAAACAGCTTTATTCTAAGACAAATCATTGTAGATGTAATCTATATCCATGAAAAAATCAGACTTTTTGCTTAGAGCACAAGTTGATACAACCAATAAAATTGAAGACACCTCACTTTTTTTCAGTATTTCATGTGGTTTACTTTTTTTGCATTGGACAGTTTACTGTGAGTGTAAGAGACAATGGTACCCCATCGTTAACTGGAACAAACACTGCCACAGTGACCATTCAAGTCAACAGGAATTCTCAGCCTCCAGTGTTCCTAAACACACCATACAGATCCAGTATAACAAGGTCTGTCCAGGACAACTCTGCCATACCTAGAGTTAATGTAGCAACCACTGATGCTGATACAGTGGTAAGTAACACATGATGAATGACAAAAATTATGTATGCTACAAAATTGTTGGCCAAGTTTGTTATTTTTTTTAAGTCTTAGTGTCACAAATTTTGTTACAACAAACTTAAACTTTCACATGAGGTTGTGGTATTTTAACATGTGTTTAATAATTGTTCTTTGTGTAGAGCCCCTTCAATGTCGTCACAGTGACAGTGATTGGAGATGATTCAGCAGCGAGTCTATTCAGACTGGATGGATCCAACATTCGGGTTCAGAATGCAGCCAATTTGGCAGCAGGCACTGCTAATACTTACAAGGTAGGAAGCCAAAACTTTTTTTTTCTAAAGTAGAGGGCTTTCTTTTTCATTTCCATTTCAAATTTTACAGAAAATGTGAAAAATTTTCAGAGACAGGCTTTTGTATCCTCTTGTGGAATTTGTTGACTATGGACTTTGATCCCTTATTTAATAATAAATGCCAATAAAGGACACTTTTTTTACAGTTGAGATTATTGGCAGAAGATGGGGGCTCACCAAAGAAAACTGCCACAGCAACAGTAGACATTACTGTAAATAGAAACCTTGCTGCACCCCAGTTTAATCCTGCTACATACAGCCAGACTATTATAGAGAATTTCCCTGTTGGAAGTGAAATTGTAACAGTAACAGCCACAGACAGTGACCCACAGGTGTGTAAATGTAGCTTTTATTCAAATACAGATAAGAAATGTTCAAATTAACATCAGTATTCCTAATAGTATTATGATAGTTTTCATTAGATATCATTGTATTTCTGACTTCAATAAAATGCCATTTTTTGCATTTTTGTTATCGCATTAAGATATCATATTTTCAAGAGAGGCAAAAAGCGACATTTCTTAATTTAATTCTTTCTTTCAGGCACCAAACAACCAATTCAAGTTCAGTCTAAAAGGTGATACAATTGCGAAGAACTACTTCTACATTAGTCCAGACTCTGGTCAGATTTCTCTCAAGCAGACGATAAGAGGAACTGGTTTCAATCAATTCAAGGTAATAAGATCTTTGTATTGCAGTTTTATGACCAATATAAATTAAAATGTTGTTTAGAAAGAAAACTAAATTGCCTTAACCTTGTAACTGTTCAACTATAAGAGGTAATTTGATAATGTTTTTATATTTAATAGTTACAAATCATTGCAACTGACGAAGGTATTCCGCCATTGCTTGGACAGGGCACGGTGATTGTAATCATTACAGATTCACCTTATTCAAACAACAGCTGTGAATCAAATATCTATGCACCAATATTTACTGCACCATTATATTTTGTTAATATACTGGAGGGAGACTATTCGATGAAAAATCAATTGCTCTTACAGGTATGAAGAGGTTACAAAGATCATTTTTGAATTTTGAAAGATATGCTTTTTTAAAAATCACAAATTTTACTGACTTAAACGTTATTATTGAGTTGCTTATGGAAATGAATCAGAAAGTCAACTTTCATCTTTTTTCAAAGATGCTTTTCCAGAGAATTCCTTATGTAGATACCTAAAATCACATACTTTTCCATGGCTATAAAAAACTCAATATTTAAGTCTTTCTAAATAGATAAAAAGAATTTAAAAGCGGTGTTTACATTTAAATGAACAAAATTGCAAAGGTCACCTAAGAAAGGAAAAATGTGCGGAATTCTTGCAAAATGCTTCTCCTCTCATAGATTTGGTTTCATTCTTATTAAACATGGTGCACAAATAGACTAAACAGACACGTAAAATATAAGAATACATGATCTAGACAAAGTACTTCAGTTACATCGGAAGATATCCTTCTTGTATAAAAAAAAGAGGAAAACAAAAAAAGAGGAAAACAATGAACATTGATCGATCTCAAAAAATCTATACAATTTTGTAAACAGGACATAAAACATGGACTGTGTGTGATGACCTTTTGACATCATTCATTTCCCATCTTACAGCAAAAAAAATCTCGAATCAATGCCTAAGTAAGCTAAATAAAGAATTTAAATAAATTTTTAAACTTTAAATTACGACTAAGACCAAAAACTTAAGTTGATTGTAAAATCTTGCAAAACTAATTTTTTCAGTTAAAAATTGCCTGCATAAGAATATCTAAGTTCTCTTTAGAAAGATTAAAACCAATTTTCAAATAAGTGTGAAAAAGAAATTTATTTGCATAATAACCTTTTTTGGTCTTATTCATAAGTTCTTTTGTAAAATGGGATCCAAGCTTTTTGACATCATAGACAGCTGCTTTTTCAAAACAAATGAAACTTACCTTGTCATTGGTTATTTACAAAATTATTTTGCTAAAAATCATTCTCAATGCACACACAAGTACTCTAAAGTTTATATTGAAAAGATGTTTGAGTTTCTGATTGACAATGTCTATGTATTTTTTGGAGATCAGGTCTTCCAACAATCTGTCAGAATTCCCACGGAATACCCTTGTCACCTGCATATGTGGTTTATGTAGATTCGATACGGAAGAGCATGCTCTACGTACGAACAATTTATAAAACGAGGAAGCTATTGACAAACAAGTTGATGAAACAAAAATATCAATAGTCTCGTTTGAAGTCATCATATCGCAAGTTCTATGGTCGATACAATGACCTTGCCAGCTAATACAATCTATCATTAAGTCAAATGCTGACTGACTTTTTCAAACTAATTGTTAGTCATCATTTAAACACTGAATTGTCTACGGAATTTACCGTTTGCCCGATCATAAGGAGCACAAGGCATGTGTGACCGGTCAACACCTGATACCACCTCTGATGTTTTAAGAGGTCCCTGTTTGCGCTGCTCCCAATTTGTATTGTTTATTTGGACTTTTGAGCTTGATTACGGTTCGTTATCTCCATGTTTCAAAAAAATGTGCAAAGCTTACCTCAATATCAAACTTGAAATCTCCGGTATTATTCATCAAATCAAAGGGTTTGATCTTACACTACTTCCCTTTGATGGATAAAAAAAATGTATTGGAATATTTATAAGAATTTCTTAATGTATGCTGGTTAAAAATGATATAATGTCCATTTTTTATTAAAATCTAAAGAATGTGTGACACCACCTTTTGAGACACTACTGAAAATATTTTCTATAGATTTTGGCCTCAGATCACGACATTGGTATAAACGGCGAGATAGCATTTGACATCCAAAGTGTTTCCAACAACGGAGCAGAAAAATTTAAATTAGTTCAAACTGAACAGGATGGAAAGATTGCAATAAAATGTGTCAGCACTATATATAGAGGAGAAACCTATGTTATAATGCTCCGTGCGTCAGACAAAGCTCTCCCAATATACAAAAGAAGGTTAGTATTGATCAAAAACATGCATGTATGTTAGGTATTGTGAATAATGGGACATTTAGCATTAAATATGCATGCACACCTGAGTTGCTTCTCTCAAACATTGCTGCATAAAAAGGTAAAGTTACATCTCTTAATATTTTATAAATATAGTAAACAAACCAGAGGCCTGTTCAACAGAGCGAACGTTCGCGAGTGCTCGCCAAAACTGCTTATACCTCAAACAGAAATGTTTGCGAGCGTTTGAGCTGTTGAACATGTCTCTATTTACCTCCAAAGTTTGTAATTATGTACGTATACTAGTAAACAGAAATTTATGAGTCTGTTGTATTAATGATGTTTTAAAATACATATCGTTTTAATGATTTATCATTATTTATGATAATATTTAAATCTTAATACATGTCAGCATAGTTATCTGAGTTTAATTTTAATAAAAGTACCAAGTGAGACTTTCATGTGAAGACAATTTGATTTGCAAGAAACTAAACCAATAAATTTATTAACAGTTTGTAATGTTTCCACATTACTTGTTTTTGATGATCTAAAATATTACTAAGCAAATTTATTTCCTTATTACCCATAAAGCATCAATTTTATTAAAAAGATATTTTATGAAAATGTTCATCATTGTTTATAATTGTTTTGATGACAAAGTGACTTGTGAATTTGATTTTTTTTTTTTAGTATTTTACATTATTATACGTTGAAATAAAACATCTTGATCCTGTATTGAGATTTTACATTTGTGTATTGTGTATTATGTTCAGCGTCTTTATCTTTACAGAAGTTCTTCAGTTCCAGTAGAAGTTAAAGTCGGTCCGTTTTCTGTACATTAAAGCAAGTAAAATGTGTTCATTTTCGTAAGTCTTTTTAGTAGTTTTTTAGGTCACCTGAGTCATTCAGGTGACCTATTGCTATCTGTTTTCGTCCGTCATTGTCCGTCGTCCGTCGTGTGTTAACATTTGAACATTTTCAGCTTCTTCTCTGAAACCGCTGAACCAATTTCAGCCAATTTTAGCATATGGCATTTATGTCTAAAGAGGAACAAAAATTTGTGAATTTCATGGTCCCTGCCCCCCTGGGGCCTTAGGGGTGGGGCTAAAACCACCAAAATTAATGCAATCTTTAAAAATCTTCTTTACTCCTGGATATCAAGCAGTCAAACTGTTGGCAAGATTGTAGTAAGCATTGAGCCCTCTACCTAATTCTAATACATTTCACATAATTGTGAAATTCATAGCCCAAGGGTCGGGGGTTTTGGTGCTAGGGCGGGGTTATATAGATCATATATTGAAAGTGCAATATTTCTTTGAAAATCTTCTTCACTACTCCTCGGTATTATTAAAACAAATTAAATACATACATGTAGTTATGATAAGCAAGGGTGACTCTACCAAAATTCTGAAATTCATAGCCCAAGGGTCAGGAGTTCTGGTGCTAGGGCAGGGCTATATAGATCATATAGTGAAAGTGCATTATTTCTTTGAAAATCTTTTTCTCTACTCCTGGGTATTATTTAAACAAATTAAATACATAGTTATGATAAACAATAATGCCTCTTCCAAAATTGTGAATTTCATGGCCCCTGGATCAGGGGTTCTGTTGTTAGGGCAGGGCTCTATTGATTACATAGTGAAAATGCATTAATTCTTTAAAAAAATCTTCTACTCTACTCCTTGGTGGAAGTACATTGTTATGATAAGCAAGGATGCCTCTTCCAAAATTGTGAAATTCATGGCCCCAGGGACAGGGGTTCTAGTGCTAGGGCAGGGCTATATAGATCCTATAGTAAAGGTGAATTATTTCTTTGAAAATCTTCTTCTCTGTCCCTGGGTATTATTTAAACAAACTAAGTACATTGTTATGATACGCAAGAATGCCTCTTCCAAAATTGTGAAATTCATGGCTCCAGGGTCAAGGGTTCTGGTGAAAAGGGGGGGGGGGGGGGAGAGGCTCTATTGATTATTGATTATATAGTGAAAATGCAAAATTTCTTTTAAAATATTGTTTTCTGCTTCTGGTTAAAAAGCAAAGAAGCTATGTGTATAGATGATGAGGAAGAGTGCTTCTTCCAGAGTAGTGAATTTCATGACCCCTGGGTCAGATGTGCTGGTGTAAGGGTGGGACTCTTGATAATATAGTGAAATTTGCATTAATTCTATTAAATAATCCTGTCTAATACCTTAGTGTTAAATAAAGTGATTAGTTATGATGAGCAAGCTTCAGGTCCCGGTGTCAGAGGCTCTGGTGTTTCTCAGTGGGGAGGGGGGGGGGGGGGGGCTCTACTGATAATATAGTGAATCTGTAGTAAAAATGCATTATTTCTTTAAAAATCTTCTCTGCACTTTGACATATTGGAGGCAAAAAGAGTAAAAGTTTTAATAAGGAAGGGTATTTTACCAGATTTTTGAACATCTGGACCATTTGGTCAAGTGTTCTGGTCCTGGCCAGGGCTCTATAAATTTTTGTATTCTACTGAGAGGAGTTATTCCCCCATGTCATTTACTTTTGATAATTAATCACTGTAAATAATGTACTTGAAAGATTAATAGAATAAGAGAATTATACAAGAATTTTTATTGTATAGTACAGAAAGTACTTTCATAGTTTTAATGATCGGGTAGACTTGTAAGTAATAGATAAATAAAAATGATAGAAAAATATTTTATGAAATGTTCATCAAAGACCAAGAAAGGCCAGTGTTAGAGATTTTAACAAGGGATTGAAATAGTACAGAAGCACTTATAGTTTGGTAATACACTGTATGGTGATAATGATAAATGGGGAACACATTAGAACCTTAATTTATGAACTGTTAATGAATACTAGACTAATTATTCTGTTGATCCTGATCACCCTATTTTTCTTGCTTTTGGGCAATAAAGCTTCACATTTCAGTTCATGTTATACTCAGTGGATCCTCAAAATTGTTGTATTATACTCAGGTGACCGTTAAGGCCCTTAGTGGGCCTCTTGTTTAATTAATAGACCAAAATTGCTTTAAAAAGTTTTTGTATTTTATCACGTGATAAATTTTGAAGTAT